AAAAATATTGTTTAGTGCGAACTGTACTCCGCTCAACAAAATGCTGTTCGAGAAACGATGAGTCGAAACTTTGATAAAACATCGTTATCGAGTTATAGATCGGGTAAGTTTTTGCCACCTTAGCAGCTAGTTGAAATTTAGCGTACTATTTTTTTTGAAGACGAATGTTTTTTTTTAATTGCGAAAAACTAATGCACTACATCTTGTGACTTCTCTCTCAAATTTTGGAGAAAAAAGACTGAAAAAATTTTCCATATACTCTCTCAGGCAAGTCTTGTGCTGACTTAATAAAAAGGAATTTGGAACATGGAAGAAAATGGCAACTTAGGCTATCGATAATGTTAAGTCACAATGAGACTCTATTTGAAGTTGAATGGGTGTAACTCGGGTATGCCGAGGGACAAAAAACTTCCAATTCGTTATTCTTCTCCCCCGTTTACTAAAATATCAGAAAAAAAACAAAAAAACTTTTGACAGAAAATTTTATTTTTCTAAGGATACTTCAGTCGAATAGAAAGTTCTAAGGTAGGTTTCCTGTAGTCAAAAAATTATTCCAAAAAAAAATTTAATTGAACTTCATGTTTGAAGTGCAATACCATTTATCTGCTAGTTTGCTGCTCAATTGGCAAAAGAAATACTTTCCACCTCATTCAAACGATAAACAACCTGGAGCTAAACTTTCGTAGTGGTTAGCAAGTAGAACAGCAAAGTTTATTGAAAAAGACATTAGCAAGTTAATCAGATCCCGATACTTTCGAAAAACTGAAGGAACGTCAGATTTCCTGAATGTTTTTATAAAATTTATGATGAGCTTACTCATAATCAATTGCAGCAAAATTGTTTGTATCAATGTGCATCGCAAACGTTCCGACTGATAATTCACGTTTTGAAAGTATTTTTGGTCAAAACTTTTGATACGAGGCCTAAACAAGACTGCTCGTATCAAGGCGAAGCCCTGAAATTTCCGACTGTCTTTTCAGGTCTATGGAGCAATAAAAACATGAAAGAATTAAATATAATAAAATAAAACAAATATTTAAAAAAATTGAGGTTTTTTGTGAAAATCATCCCCCTTCCCCCACACGCCATAAAAAGTGATAGATTTCGCTCCGAGTACTAAATAAATTATGGCAAATAAGCTCCTTTCAATTAATTTGGAACGATTTCTCAGACGGATTAAACCTCTGCTTAAGCGTTAATAGCGCGCAATATGTCGCCCGTTAATTGTCCCAAAATGGCCAAAATGACAATATTTAAAGCCCCATAACTTAACAAAAAACAATCCCAGGTAAATATGTTTTCAAATTTAGACTCAGGACAACAATACATTTTGAAGGACATTAAAAAAAAATTCCGTCAAAAATGGCTAGTTAAAAAGTCGAACTTTGTCTGACGAAAAAAACCACCCGAGCAAAAATATTCTGTTACTTTCGTTAGGAAAGACGGAAAATACGAAAAATAAAAAAATGGAAAATTATCTTACTGTAATTTTATCTTTTTGTACGCACAACACAAAATATAAAACCATAAGGGATCCGAATGTCGCTGCATTGTAAGGGTCAATTAGAACCCACATTGATTTGGTTTTTTTTCGCAATTGTTCTACTTCAAAATATTTGTTTTTCAAAATCAATTTTCGAAAGTGTAATTGTGTAAGAGTCTCTCAGCGGGTCCTATTAAATCCGTTTTTTTTTCTTCAGTTTTTTCAGACTGCCTTTTATTTTTACATCAGAGGCCTTATATTTTTTGAAGCTTTCACATAATTTTTGTTGAGTAATTAGCCGTTAAAATTTAGATGTTTTGCGTAGTTTCTTTGAAGCTGAAAAAATGACCACTTTAATTGAAAATTCAGTCAACAACCTAAAAAACCTGGCTTTGAAATTTGCTGAGATATTTGTTATGACAATTTTATAGCGGTACAGGGTCATTCAACAATTTAGCTGAGTAATTTAAATTTTGTGAATTTTTTTAGAAGCGACGTATTTCTGTTAGAACAAAACTGTTTGAGTTTTTCAGATATCAGTATAGGATTTTAAAAAATAAAAGAGAATGCCATACATGTTTGATTATCTTTTCATCGACAACTTTTGCAAAAATACTTCTACTAATTACACCATTTTTGGAGGGCAAAAACTGGCTTTTAATAGAAAAAAATCGTTGAATTTGGGGTTATTGGTGAGTTATTTTAAAACAAAAATCGCCTCTTCAATCTGCACAAATCCAAAAAAAAACATACCAAACAATCAAATGTGACAAAAAGCATGGAACTCATTTTTAGGATTGCTGATCTGCTCTTGTGTTTTGGCCTGAAATTTCTGCTTGATTTCAAAAAATTGCAGGCGTTCACCGCTTTTCTGTTTTTAAAACTGCATTTCAAGGTTTTCCTTTTTGATGGTTTCTTTGATCTCATAATTTTTCTTTGCGGTTTTTTGAAAAGCATTCTCTGGTATGTTTATTTAGATTTTCGACCAATACTATCGGAATAGTTATTCTGTCAATTTTCGACATCTCAACTCATCTTTAGTGATGGATTTGCAAAAACTAACGCGCGATATAACGTGGTCTTATAATGAGCGTAAGTGGCAGTTTAATTTGCTCCAAATGGGTTCGAAACCTGCCTTTAGTCCATTTAAAACAATGAAAGACGCTTAACGCACCCTTTGTGTTACATATCGTCTGGGGGGATAAACTCACAAATTAAAAAAAAAATCTTTTTTTTTTCGTTTATTTCGTCAATTATTCAGCAATAAACAAGTATTTGACTTTAAAGTGCAATAAAAAACTCAGACCCTTATTATGTCACACAATCAGTCTGGTTATTGGATTGTTTTTGAAACAAATGGCGGAATATTTGTGCTAGGGGTGGTTTTTTCTGCAGACAAACATCGACTTTTTAACTAGCAATTTTTGATGGTTTTTTTATTATGATTCGAAACATATTGTTGTGTTGAAATCAAATTAACATAGAGGCGAGGCGAAGTTTTGCACCATCTGCAGTTAAACATATATTAAACACTTTTGCCAATAAAAACATGAAATTCAAAAAAAAGTGGAGAACGTTGAAAAAACTAGTTCTAGCAAAAATTTTATTTTCGTCTCGATAGACGTTAATTTTAGGCTATCAGCGTATAGAGTTGAGACTTTAATTAGCAATGAAACAAGAAATAACAAAGCTGACAAGCTTTGAGCAGACACTTGCACTTTAAACTACAATGGAAGTTATCTGCAGCACAAGAAAAGAAAAATCAGTGATGTGGCGACTAAGCAGACAATTTTTGAGCAGACAGCTCTTGCGCTGAAAAAAGTGATTTAAAACAATTTAAAACATTTCAAGTCCACCTCCCTCAACCTACCTACAATAAACAACACTTGCGCTTGCAATGAGAGTTGCTTACAAGACAAACAACATTTGTGATGTGGCAACTAAGCCGACAAAATTTTAGCAGATTAATGGAAGTTCAATGAGTCATTTCTTACTGAAAATTTTTTTTCAGTTGCATACATACCTTAAGGTACAAAATAGACGGCGTTAAAAGTTTTAAAAAAATTGCTCCATAGACTTTAAAAGGCAGTCAGAACATTCACGGCTTTGCCCCGAGACCAGGAGTTTCCGTAAAGTTTTTCTGTGTGCATCAGTTATTCTGGACTGGCGCTCTGTCAAAATCTTAGAAAGGAAAGACAACATTGAGCAATAAGGTTTTTTTTCTGTAGACAAGTTGTATAAAAAATAATGTTTTTGATCATTTTTGGACTATTTAGACTACCCTTTTATTATAAAAGAAATAGGTCTTGTCGACGAAGTTCGTTCTCGTTAAATATGGGAAGAAGTGGCTGTGAGTTTAAATACCGCTGGAGCCTTCGGAAAAGTTTGTCAACCCAAATTAAGAGGGAGGATGTGGTTATCTTGGCAATCTACTGGGCAGCTACAAATTTATTTTAGCCTCAAATCTTTATTTTTTCTCGATACCTCAGTTTTGGAAGAGACTTCAAGTTGTAAATTTTTAAAACGCCATGAGCAAAATTTAAGAGTCAAAAACACCGTAAAATCTAATTAGAAAAACACTCAAAATTGATTTTGAACTTTTTTGTTTTTGGTTAAGAAAACAATCAGTAGTATCTCCAAAACGGAAATCAAGTATTTTTTAGAAGACACTTCATCGAAATTGAAGTCTTCGCGAAAACAGTTACTCTCAGCTAAACTTAAACATGTAGTTTCCTTTATTTGTGACAGTGCATGAAAATCCATTTTTTGCCGACCGACCCTAAAATTTTTCTAAAGGTGCCTTTGGCGCCAATATATACTAACTTTGAGGGGGAGCGCGCGCCAAAAAAACGCGATTTTTTTTGTCAAAATTTTTCAAAAAGTGCCTAAAAACGGCTTTTTTGACCTGTTTTTTCAAAAATTTACCTGCGGCGCAGAAAATTTGGCAAAAACAGGGACCTTTTAGTGCTTTACAAGAGCTCAGAAAATCAATTTGGTCGACCTAAAAAAAAAAAAAGGTCGTCAAAATTTTCGAAATTTTTTTGAAAATCCGCCCCTCCCCTCAAAAAAATCCTAGATCCGCCCCTGGTGCATGACATAATTCAATTAAATGTAGTTTATCCAATTTTTATTCAACTCGTCAAATGAAGTATTTCACAATAGTTGCCTGAACATCATCGTTGTTAATTAATCCAGTGACGTTGTTCTTGGATCAATTTTCTTTTATTTTTCAACAGACATTTATGTTTTTACAGTGTTTTGCTTTACAGCAGCTGTTCAACTGTATATAATCAACTGCATATACGCATACTTTAAATAACTTCAGCCTTTATGAAGATTTGCCGACTTTCTTTGAGGTCGAATCCTTATTGAAAAGGGTGAAAACTTTTTTGGACAAGAAAAATCAAGATAAGACTTACTCCAAAGATTGCTATTCGCATAACTTTTCATGCTATAAGGCGTTCTTTTAAGTTTCGAAATAGAAGCCTAATTTCAAACTTTTGCTTTTTTGTTATAGAAAATGAACGTCTCAGAAGCAGAAACTGCTGAAATGGTTGACTACAACTTGGACATTCAACACTATTTTCAGAAAAGTACAATGGAAAAGTTTGACTGGGATGGCGTTGCTTATTACCTCTACATAGCAGTTTTTGTCCTGGCACTTCTTGGAATCGGTCTGAATTGTCTCTGCTTCAGAACTTGTTTGTTTCTGACCAGGGCGAATTCTACCGCTTCGATTCTGATGCGATATTTGGCTGCTTGGGACTCGGTGGCGCTTATGCACAATCTATTGGATCACGGGTTGAATCGACTTCTGGGGACCGGCTGGATTTGCAAAAGTGTTTGTGAATTTTTAAGTCTCTCATTTTGTTTTCATTTAACACTATTTTCATCATATTTCCTGATCGATCCGTGAGAGTGAAGCAATTTTTTGGAGAAATAACTGAAGACACGTCGTCACAAACGGGAGGAATTTGAACGGTTTTCCAGGAATACACGAATTTTTTTTTTCAAATTAAAAAGGCCAACAAATTGTTTCCGTATGATTAATTAGATTGTAAAAAACCAATCAATATTGATTTTAAATGTGCAGCAACTTCTATGTCGAAGCTCATGTTACGCTTCAATTTTAATGCTTGAATTTTTATGGGTTTACAAAGGTCAACTTATTTTTTAGGCAATCATTTTCAAGATGTTTGCAGCATCCTACCTGACAATTCAGCTGACAACAATCTATCACATACTTGCGCTAGCTCTAGATCGCGTTGTCGCAATCAAAATTCCGATTTGGCACCGAAACATTCTGGCTGCAAACTCACTCAAAACCGTCCGGATCACGACAATCACTATTTTCATCTTCTGTTTTCTCTGCTCGGCGCCAAGATTCTTCTTCTTCGTGAAGCATCCCGACGGTGCATGCGGCGTCTCGGAAAGCCGAATGAACTCGGCTATTTTGAAGTATCTTGTCGGCTTCTCGACGTTTGGGTCAATTCTTCTAACTCCGCATGTTTTTTACATAATTGCGAATACTATCTTCGTGAGATTGTTAAAACGACGACAAAAAACAAAGGAAATAGCCGCATCGGCGACGACAACAACGACAATAACCGGTACAACGAAAACGAATGCGGTGTTCTCGCGGAACGTGACCGAAGCTGACATGACTAAGAACGATAACAACAACCGAAAACAACAAAATCATCGAAGTTACGTAATAATGTTGTTCATGCTTACGTTTGGCTGTTCTGTGGCGGCAGGAGCTGCAGGTGCCATCAACATCCTAACTTTCGCAATCGGAGAGAAAACGGAAGCTGAAATGCTAAGTTTCGACATTGGTCGAACTGGCTTCGCAAGATTCGCTTGGAGCTTGGTTGATATCTTGGGAGTTCTGAAGAATTCGATGAATTTCATATTCTACATGCTGAGTGGCGACGAGTTTCGTAAGGCATTCAGAAAGGCTCTGGGCTTAGGCGGCCAAGAAAGTAACTCGTCAAAAATCACTTCAGGAAAGAAGTGAAAGTTGAAATGAGTTAAATTTACAGCAGCGGATTTTAGTATGCGGGAAAATTTCTTATAGAGAAAGTCGACTCATTCGCTACTAAAATCATATAGCGTTTGCTTCTGTTATGAGCCGCAGTCATAGCCGGTTGATTGGTCCAAGAATTTTGTTGAATTTTTAAATGGTGAATTGACAGAAACAGATATTACATGAGGCAAAGAGAGCGAAGCATACGCCAGTTTTTTTTCTCCAAAAATTCAGAAAAAATGCTCCAATTTTTGGCCTACACATTTCTCTGCAAATTTGGTTCACCGCAAGTTACCAACTTTAAGATCCGCCACTGTTCGCATTATCGATGAATCTCTAATCAAATCACAGTATTTTTAAGCATGAAAAAATCACAAGTGGATCGTTTAGTTTTCATATATCGAGCAGCATTGATAGATAAAATATCAAAGAACATGGTCGAAACGGCACTAATTAAACTATCTAGCTCTTGCATTTTATCAGCGCATATCAAAGTGAAGAGTTTTTTGCTTGGCTATTTTCGCGCTTGTTTTGAAATACTTGTGATAATTTTTTTCACAAAGATATGTAACTAAAATAGCCGCTGGAAAAAGAGTGGGACTAAGATCAGTATTATACTAAGGAGTTGCACGACACGAACCTATCTGTCCTAAAATCAATCGCGTGACGAACAGGCGATGTACTAAATCAGAAACGGATCTACTTAACAATCGCTTAAGAATTGCCACCCATATTAATATAATCAGTCAATTAACACTGAGCTTTCTATTGATAATTATAATTTTGCTGCATTCTGATTGGTCGAAAATGCGTTATTTTAATCTACTTAACAATTGCACCCCCCCCCCCTCTCTTAAAAGGGTGGCAATTGTTAAGTAGATCCTCAGAAACTATTTTTATGGGAGATCCTTCTGCCTCCATCTCACTCTACTATTGCAATGAAAATCAAAGCAGTCCATACCACGCAAAAATAGATGATGGTTGAGCACTTCATTAGAGCCCTCAGCTTAGAAGCAAAAAAGTCAAATCTCATGGTAGTTTATGTATTACAGCGGCTATATATAGCTTGTCGCTGGGTAAAATTATGACATCTCCGCTTAATCTAAAATCAGGTGGCTCGAAATAAAACACTGTGCTTCTCGTTGCTTGAGGTTGAAGCAAGATTTGTGCACTCAAGTTATACCTCACACGGAAATGGAACAGCGGTAATTTTTTTAAATACGCTTTTTGTTCCGAATGTCGATACGAAAGTAACGGAATATTTGTGCCCGGGGTGGGTTTTTTTTTCTTCTGACAAATTTCGACTTTTTAACTAGCCATTTTTGACGGAACTTTTTTATATCATTCGAAAGGTATTGTTGTCCTGAGCTCAAATTTGAAAAGATATTTCACCTGTGATCATTTTTCGCAAAGTTATGGGGTTTAAAGATTGCCATTTTGGCCAATTTGGGACAATTACGCGCGATATATTTCGCGCTATTAACGCGTAAGCGGAGAGTTAATCCGTCTTAGAAATTGTTCAAATTGATTGAAAGAAGCTTGTTTGCCATAATTAATTTGTTACAAGGAGCTGAATCTATCCTTTTCTACTTTATATGGCGTGTGGGGGGATGATTTTCATAAAAAATTCAACTTTTAGAAGAAAAAAAATTTCATTTTGTTTTATTACATTTAACTTTTTAATGTTATTACTGCTCCATAAACAATAAAAGGCAGTCGAAACATTCAGGGCTTCGCCCTGATACGAGCAGCCTTGTTTTATTTTGTTTCAAACTAGGAATGTTGACGTATAGGTTTCATCGCAGATCAAAAATTGAGCAGATGCACGAGTTTTCAAATATTGCGAGATTGAAGTCAGGCATTGAAAAAATCCTGACACCAATTTTAACAAATTGAAAAATAAATCAAAAAAATTTATTGTATATCTCTACGAATTATACAGCTGCACTGCGCTTTTCATTAATGTAACAAGACTGCTCGTATCAGGGCGAAGCCCTGAATGTTCCGACTGCCTCTTAAGGTTTATGGAGCAGCAGTAAAAACATAAAAAATTTAAATGAAATAAAAAAAAATGAAATTTTTTTTTCTAAAATTTTGAAATTTTCTATGAAAATCATCCCCCCACACGCCATGTAAAGTACAAAAAAAGAGATTTCGTTCCTTGTAACAAATCAATTATGGCAAATAAGCTTCGTCCAACCAATTTGGAACAATTTATAAGACGGATTAATTCTCCGCTTACGCGTTAATAGCGCGAATTATATCGCGCGTTAATTGTCCCAAATTGGTCAAAATGGCCATCTTGAAACCCTCATAACTTTACGAAAAATGATCACAGGTGAAATATCTTTTCAAATTTAAGCTCAGGACAACAATACCTTTTGAGTGATATAAAAAAAATTCCGTCAAAAATGGCTAGTTAAAAAGTCGAAATTTGTCTGAAGAAAAAAAAACCCACCCCGAGCACAAATATTCCGTTACTTTCGTATCGAAAGTCGGAACAATAATGCAATAACTCGCGAAAATTTCATTTTCTGTTAATAAAGACTTCAGTTTTGTGCAAACGTCTTTTAGCTGATAGATGCGAGAAAAACCGGTCGGTATTATATATTTGCCTGCCTGGGCAATTAGAACAACAAATGTTTCAATTGCTTAGCACTTACAGTTTCTAAGAGCCAGTGCCTTAAAAAAGTGTGATTCCAGAATTTTCAAAAGAAGTTCACATGACTCGAATTTACAAAAAAGGAGATACAAGAGAGGCAACTAACTACATACCAAATTCGTTGTTAAAAACTTGTTCTAAATATATTTAGCGACTTCTACTTCAACGAAATCTTGCCTATAAAGAAAAGAATGATTTAGATAGCGGATCTTGTTAATTATTTCCCCCCTATTGCAATAGGAGGAAATAGTTAACAAGGTACTAAATTTGTATACGCTTAGCTGTTCAATTCTTTCTTTACAGGGAGGAGGTTCGGTACAAGGTATCATAGGGGGGAATAGTCAACAAGACCTTATTTAGCTACTCTCAAATTGACTACAGAGAAAGTAAGTATTAGATTATAGCTGTCATCATAGAAATAAATTTGGTTTTTCAAGCTAATAATTATGCTCTAGCTGTTTTTATTAACAAGGCTAGAGCCTTTAATTTTTGTCTCACAAATTTTTTTTACTTATTAAATTAGATTCATATGAATTTCCCACTCACGCTCGTAATATGTTTTGCAAACTTTCAATCGCACCTAAATTACAGAGTAAAAATATCAATCCAAAAATTTTCTGGGCTATTTTAGAACCTGGGGTATATCAAGGTACAGTGCTCGGTCCGATATTTTATATATTTTATGCCAACGTTTTTAAGAGTGAACTGGTAAAGTGTTTTCAACCTGATCAATTTAAGTTGATGCATTTCTGGGGAAAAAGGTTTGAATATTTTGATGATACAGGTTACTCTGATGATGAGGTTACCTCGAGCATAAGCTCATGATTAATGCAGACAGAACAGATCTGATCAGATTTGTTAGATTTCAGAATCACGTAATTCTTTATTTTTTGAAAGTAAAGAATTGAAAACACAAAAAATGTGCAAGGCATCTGAGCAATATATTGAACAAAAAAGGAGTTTTGAGACAGGGGTGAATTTAGAGGGAGGGAAGTGGACGCATTCCCCACCCCTGCCTCCCTTCAGGGGTTCGACACCCTGCCGATCCATGTGGACCCCCTTTGTACTATTTTGAGATATTCATTTTTGGCTGACGGACAGTAAACTTTTTTTACAGGCGCCTTTGGTGCCAATGTAAACTATTTTTGAGGGGGGAGTACGCGCCGAAAAAACGCAATTTCTGGGTCAAAATTTTCCAAATTCCTCAAAAAAAAATTTGGCCAAAATTTTGAAAATCCGCCCCTCTCCCATGAGAAAATCCTAGTGCAGCCCCTGTTTTGAGGCTTAGTAGCTAGCAGATTTAGGTCAAAATACGTCTTAGGCATGAAATGTTTTTTAAATGAAAATCTCGGTTTTGTTTCGGCTTGGATATAGGGGTTTAGATTTCAGTAGTATAAAAAAGAAGAAGGTCAATCGTTTGAATATTCAAACAAACTAGTGTCTAAAACTTTTTTCATGAAAAATTTTTGAAAGATGTCATAATCTACTTGAAAAAACACCGTACTTCCTGCAGAAGTAACGACAACACAACTTTGTACGCTGAAACTTTTCTTTTGCTCACAAAAAAAAGAAATCCTTTGATTAGACAAAACAAGAAAAACGGATGAAAACATTAGAAAATGGTGATTAATAGAACAAAATAACTGTGATTCATATTCTTTGTCGTCAAAGAAGATAGAAACGAAGACAAACAGATCTACCAAATATGAGGAAAATTTGTTGAAAATTAAGTACAGTGACAGATGACCCGCGTTATTCCGTAGTATGAAAAACTTGATACCACTTGAACCAGCTCACCACGCAGAAAATCAAAGTGTTTCTGTAGATAGAACCCGAATACAGAAGTAATCGTTTTGTCATACAATAAACTCCATGCCTTAAGATCATCAATCAATCAAGAAATCAATCAACCAATCAATCGATCCATCAATCAATTTATCAATCAATCAACCAATCAATCAATCCATCAATCAATATATCAATCAATCAACCAATCAATCAATCAATCAATCGACCAATCAATTAATCAATCAATCAATCAATCAATCAATCAATTACAACTAACCTTCCACATTGTTTTATCATTATATGTTTCTGTTGAGACTCAAGATAATCAAACCTTGCTAAAAACTTGGTCTAAATGATGACAAAATGAACCGCTTCCGGCATTTTAAAAAAACCTGGAAAATTTTCCTTTTTAAAGGTGTTCATGATCATACAAATTTTGTTGTAATGTAACATGTTGAACAATTTTATTTAGCAGACAAAACTAAAGCAAGTATTGGTTTGTAAATTAAGCAAAACCCTTACCAAGAGCAAATGATAAAAGCAAACTTCTATGAAATTATCAAAGTTTCTTTTCAACTTCTTTCCGCTTTTTATCATCTGCATTATATTTTAGATCGTAGTGAATTCTTGCTGGGACAAACAGCTTTTAAATTTTTTTATTCAAATGAAACAATCGTAGCAAGAAATTGTATTGTTGAGTGTGAAATTTTTTATTCAACTGAGATGTTCCTTGCCAAGCAGAACAGTCAAATGTTAGATAAGCACCGTAAAAAAGCAGTTACAAACTCGGCAATGTCTGAACAGACACCCGTTGAGCTGAAAATAATTTCCCAAAAAAACTGAAACTCGAAAAAAGGTTTTTCAATTCCCTCACTTAAATTACACACACTTACACACTTTTCTTACACACACGAGAAAACGATTATATTTGCTCAAAAGACGCCGTATGAGGCCATTAAGCCGATTCATTATAAGTTAAAATCATTGAAGGCAATTGAAAAAAAAGAAAAGTTTCAACAAGTCAGAGTTCGAAAGCTTTTAATTAATGTAAGATACTTTTTAAAGATAACAGTTATTGAAAACGCAGACATGAATAAATTTAGTTCGTCGTTGACTTAAGTACAAAAGTTCAGATTGGAAAATCAACCAAAATTGGAGCATTTGTGACCAAAAGTTATTCACGGGAAAGAAGTGTATAAAAGTTTGCAACACCCTTGGTTACCGCAAGATCCATTCTTTAGAGTGGCTGGCTCTGATTTGTTCTCGGTCTATGTATTTTTTTCTTAGTTCTAAGTAAAAGTCGTCTAAAACATCCTTGAAAACGAATGTCCCACGATTCGCCCTACACAAATTTAGTAGCACATTTCGCTCCTAAAAATGTCACACATTTCGTACTCGCTCGGTTCGCCCCGAACTTATTACACAGTTAATTAACCGCCGCTTTCTGAGTTTACAATTCGTTTTTCTCTGGTTTTTTCTTCTCTGTTCAGAGATTGCTCGTCGTATGGGATGGGAATTAAAGTAATTTTTTTGCCTCATTTTGCTGGATTTCTAATTGTTAAAAAATGCTAGTCATAAAATTTTCATATATGAAAAGTTTCTAAATTTTCAATTTCCATATATGAAAAAATGCTAGTCATACACTTTCCATATATGAAAAAATGCTAGTCATACAATTTCCATATATGAAAAAAATACTAATCATAGACCTTTCATGCAATTTTCTGTACGTATGGAATTGCATGGAAAGTGTATGACTAGCATTTTTCCATATATGGAAATTGTATGACTAGTATTTTTGGTCATCCCGGGAAATGTGCCAATAATTTCATGAGGGTCGAAATATGTGAGGGGCAAAATGTGTGAATACTCTTGATAACTGACATTTTGGAGAGTAAAAACTTGAATTTGCGCTCGATATTGTCCACTTTATTAAGTATACTGATTTTTTTGATGCCTTACATCAAAAAAACACGAATTTAGCCACAAAAGCATGCAGAAAAGTATGATAGCGGAACACTTGCAAGTTGGGCGGGAGTGTAAGCGAGCCAAGAACCCAACTTCTTGTTCATGAAGATATGATCATCTACACTTATCTTCATCTACATGGTATGATTCAATGAACAAATCTATCAGAAAATTGCTATTTGATCAAACTTACTATTTCATTGTTACACAACGATAAGTTTTGAATCAGAAAATGATCAAATTAACCCAACATAGAATAATCGCAACTCTTGGTAAGCATTCAATCTTCAAGCGATATTTTCTTCAACATAAGAATATCTGCGAGCTAAATCGTTGCAACAGCAAGAACATACCAATAAATACACGTGTTCTAGTTCATAATCGTTATCCCTTCATTCTTACCAGCCAAAAATTCATTTCCTCTGTTGTTACTCAATACACAAAACACGCTCCTTATAGTATTTCAAGGAACGGTTTTCCTTTTTCTCCTGCAAATTGTGGAGTTGCAAATAGTAGCTTACCATTGTTGCAACGCAGAGAAAAGAGTGGCAGTGTTGTTACCATGTCGAGTCAGCTTACAGTGGTGAACAGTGAACGGGCACCCAAAGCACTGGGTCCGTACAGTCACTCAGTTAAACATGCCGGAGTGGTTTATGCGTCCGGACAAATTGGTAAGTGAACAAACCCGCTTTTGAAGTTTTCAGCAAAAAGTGTAATTTTGAGGCGCTCTGATAGGTTTTTTGGGCTCTTTTTTTTCAATTCCCCCTCCATTTGAACTTCAGCTTTGAAATTTTTTTTTCATTTTCATAATGTAATGAAATTTGCTCATTTCCAGTTTCCCAACCCCCTCGTAAAATTACAAAATAAAGCTGTTCAAAAATTGTTCACATGGCATTTTCAGTGTAAGAAATATTGCACAAACTTGTTCACCTCTTCACGTTGACACGTTTTGATGCAGTTTTCAACATGTAAAGTCATTTCAAATAAACTTTTCTATACTGAATTTCAGAAAAAAATTAAAGGAGGGGACTGAAAAAGAGCCATGAAATTTTGCATGGTGAACTAACTAACTCTTGTGAACAGATATGTTTTTCGAGCCTTGCATCTTAAATTTACGCGTTTAGCAAAAATTACACGTAAAACAATAATCATAATAATATAAAATTTCAAAGGCGGACAGGAGTCGAAAAGCGCCACCTCCTTTTCATTATGACAACAGTTCTTGGCTCTTTTTCTTCCCCCCCCCCTCACCTCACACGAGCATCAATTTTTAACGAGCGGTTTTGCAAAGTTAGTTATGAAGGCCAAATTTGTTAATCACGGAGTAATTAGTCTGCATACTATTTTCTTAACAATCGGGCAATGTGAACAATAGTTTCACTTGCAAAAAATTGCAGGTTGGGGAAGGGAGAAAAAAACTCTTTTCGTAACAGCTAAAGAAATCATTTTTAAGGCGCTTTTGACACCAACCCAGTTTTATGTCTCTTTTCCATTATAGGCCCACCCACAGCCTAGTACCAAATTTTTTTTAACATCGTCCCACCAGTGATTTTTCTAAATGATCATACACAACCTCGTAATGTAAAATAATTAGGGATTTTGAAAGTGTTTTGTTTATATCTGGTGGGAAATTTGGCATGCCTTGATGTTATCCAATTTCAAACACATTTGGACAGGCACTCGATATTTTTTTCGGAGATGGGGGAACGGTAAAAGAACATACTTTGCTAAATGGGCTATAATGGTAAAGAGGCTTTTTTACATTTGCCCAATATATGAAAATCAATTTTGAAAAACTACTTTTACGTTGTCATTATGTAATGACATTTGACATGGTGATCAACTTAACTATTGAGAACACACCTTTTCTTCGTAGCTTAAATTGCATCGTCACGCATTCAGCCACAACAACATGTAAGACAACTAAGAAAAAGGAAAATGGGGAGGCGTAGTAGAAAAGAGCCGTCAGGAAACATTTTTTAAACGAGTGAAATTTTCTCCTATTTCTGTATGCGATGCAGAAATATTTGGGGAAAACAAAAAAAAAATTTTTTCAATTTTTGGAGCAAAGTGCTGAAAAAAATTATCTAGAAACAAAATTGTAAGCTTTTTCATCAGTTTCGTGAAATACCGCCATTTATCTCTTGAAAATTTCGATTAAGGCCTGAATGTGTTTTATGGAATAACTTTTTGCTTTACTTTATGAATCATACACTCACTTACACAAAAACGCAAAAGTTAACCTTTTACAGTGCACCTCCTAAAACTCCTTTTTACCTCAAATTGTTTTTTCGAATTTTAGCGCATCAACTTCTAAATGTCTGACTCCTCTACAGAATTTGGCTCTTTCGCCTTCCCCTTACAACCTTGCAAGCATCAATTTCATAGTGTAACGAGTGGCATTAAAAGCTTAAGTTTGAAAACTAAATATATTTGTTATGGCTGAAGTATTCTTCATATCAATTTTTAAACCATTAATATAATAGCGTAGGGAGTAATTTCATAAGGTTAAGTATCAATTTTAAATATATTTGCAAATGGGTAATCATTACGCATGTAAATTTTCATAACAATCGGATTTTGCGGACAAACGTTTATCGGTAAAAATTCGCAAGCGGGGGAAAGAATACAGATCCTAGATTTTACCAAATGACACTTATTTAACTTTATATGCAAAGGTTACTACCCAATTACCAAATTACTTTAAGTTTTAATAGTTTATTCACAATATATCAAGCTGATATAACTGGTTACTAATTTAGGACTACACAAGACTACTCGTATTAGGGCGAAACCCTGAATTTTCCGAATGCTATTTATTTTCAATAAAACAGTTAAAATTAAAGTAATTGATAATGTTTCCACCTGTGTTCGGTCTGTGGTGGGGTCGGTCGAGTATATCGTCGGTCTGTAGATTGGCTGTATGTATCTTGTTTGAGAACACGATTGTTCAATATATATATATATATTTCCTTCAATAATTATCGAAAATCATTAAGAGGAAACAACGGAATAATATCTGTTTCGGAACAAAATTATCAAGTTTTAAACGAAATCGAAATCGAAAGCGACTTTATTGTCATTACTTTTGCCAATAAGTGGGGATTTTCACGCTTGCCAGAAGTTAGAAGTCAATTCTGGCAAAAGTCTAATTAAGTTCATGTCCAGAACATCATTTAAAAACAAGTTTGACTTAGGAACATTTTTTATCCGGTTCAAATCAAGTGTATTCCAAGTTTTTTAGTAGTAAAATACTTGGAAGGACCGGGATTTGCACCGGCGACTTTTCGGTTTCAGGTCAAGTACGTTACCGCTAGACTAGCTGGTCTTGATATGCTTTCATTTTAGTTTCAATCTTGAACATCCTCGGGCCCCAACGGAGCGAGAACTGGGGCGAGTTTAACAAGAGGTTGGGTTAAATCTCCTGTTGCGGTTTTAAGGAGTGCGGAACGGGCGGTAGCGTCTTTGCCATAGTTAAGCGTTTTAACGCGAGCGAGAGGGTAGTAACCACGCGGGCTACTATCCTCGACGATCCAAACAAGATCTCCGGCTTTGAGTTCTTGTTCGGTAGGTGTGTGCCATTTACGGCGTTTGTTGAGAGTGGGAACGTACTCGCGTAGCCATCTAGTCCAGATGGCGTTAGTGTATCTTTGTGCGCGAAGATAACGCTTTCGATGATCGAAATGTTCGTCCGTCGCAATCAACGGGAAACTAACTGAGCGCTGGCCTATCAAGAAGTGATTTGGCGTTAAAGCCTCAATCTCATTCGGGTCACTGCTTACCGCTGTAAGTGGACGCGCATTGAGGGACTGTTCCACCAGACAAAATGTGGTCTGGAGTACCTCGTCGGTTAATTTACGGGGTGTGGGGATGGAGTAGAAAACTCTCTTGCAACTACGTACAAGACGTTCCCAAGAGCCACCATGATGTGGTGAAGATGGTGGGTTATACTTCCATTCGATGCCTTTGTGGACAAGGAGAGCGGGCGCAAGATCATTCCATGCTCGAGTACACAGAAGAAGCTCTTTCTCTGCACCGACAAAGTTTGTACCATTATCGGACCAAATTTTCGATGGAGTTCCTCGTCTAGCGATGAATCGTTCTACTCCCATGACACAGGAGCTTGAATCCATTGATGGTACGACTTCAATATGGATGGCTCTAGTGGTCAAACAAGTGAACAAAAACGCCCAACGTTTCTCCGAACTCCTACGGATTGTTACGTGAAAGCGTCCGAAGTAATCGAGTCCGCAATTGTTGAAGAGCGCTTGGCGGTATCCAAGACGCTCAATTGGCAGATCAGACATAAAAGGGGTGATGGTTTTCAACTTTCGCTTTCGGCAGTTTTTACAATTAAGTTCAATGTTACGGAGCAATGATCTTAATTTTAAGATTGCATATTCTATCTGGATGACAGATCGTAGGTAGTCAATTGACTGATGCTCATGTTTGTTGTGTTGATGAACCACAAACAATTTGACTAATGGATGACGGCCATCAAGTATGGTGGGATATTTATTTTTAAATTCGAGTTCAGAGAGACGACTAATGCGTCCTATGGATCTAAGAAGTCCATCGGGGTCAATGAATGGGGAGAGAGTTGCAATAGGGCTTACCTTCTGAACATATTTCTTAGAACTCAATAATTTGAACTCTGAGGGGAACGCTTCTTTTTGAGAAAGGAGAAACAACATTCGTTGAGATTTATCTATCTCAGACGGTTTAACGATATTAGCGATTGTTCCACGGAAATGATTAAATTTAGGATTTAATCGGAGGATGAATGCTACTACGCGCAATAATTTGAGAAACGAGCTGTAAAGTTTCCACTTAATGACGGGTTCAGGGACTGACGGATTGATTACAAAATTAGTGGCAGTATCGATGACATCATCGATAGGACCTTTTAATTTTGTTTTTGTAATCACATAGACATTTGGTCGAAAGGGCCAATCACTGGTTCTGAGGAAGCTGGGACCTTGAGTCCAGCTGCTGTCCTTCAAGGCTTCAGCGGCAATACCTCGAGTACCAGTATCAGCTGGGTTGTTTTCAGTATCTACGTGATACCATTCGTCCACAGTGGTAACTTTCAGTATTTCGCCTACTCGATTAGCGACGAATACTGGCTGCTTTGCAGTCGAATGGAGCCATTGTAGCACAGTGGTGCTGTCAGTCCACATAAAGACATCATTTATAGGGATCGAAAGTGCTTTCATGATATCTATTTTGAGGCGTGTAGCAAGCAAAGAAGCTTGCAGCTCTAATTTTGGGATGGAAATAGCCTTCATTGGTGCTACGCGGGCTTTACCCAAAATGAAGGCGAGTTTGTCTCATGTGTATCAATAATGCGCGCACGGAGAAATCCAACTGCACAGAAGACTTCCTGTGAACTGTCACCAAACATATGGAGTTCAATTTTGTCAACTGCGGGTGGAAAGTAGCATCTCGGTATGATCAGTTGACCCAGGATGGGTAGACCAGACCGCCATTCGAGGAATTTGGCATTCAAGTCCAAAGGAAGTGGGTTATCCCATTGTTGACCACTGATTCTCCAAATCTCTTTAAGAAGTAATCGGGCTCTGACAGTGTATGGAGCGACTAACCCAATAGGGTCGAAAACTGAAGAGACAAAACTTAGAACTGTACGTTGGGTAACAGTATCCTTCAGTTC